CAACATTTCACTCAGCAGATTAACGTAACTAGTCGTTTTCGGCGCGTCAGTCTTTGCAGCCGTCTAGTAATAGTCGCGAAATTCTGTATCTGTCGAAGATGATAGGAACATCAACTCCATAACTGTTTCATCTGTGTATCATGGCTTTGGGCACTAGAGAATGGCCCTGCTGTTCTGCACATCCAGTCATACACCAGAACTAAGGGTAAGGTATCCAAGAAACACCACTTCTTATTATTTATTACTTCTGCGACGGTAGACTTATTTTGGTATTCTGGTCAAGATTTAGGTCATTCAGTCTGTGCAGTATGTTATGAAGCTTTTCCTCATTTTCTGCAGTGTTACTACAGAAAGCATAACTATTGTCCACATACACATCACATCCGTTGGAATCGGATAATGATAAGTATTAAATTTCTGCCAAGCAGGTGGTAAAACTCTGGTAAAACTGTACCGATACAAACCATGTGTGAGGAAAGCAGTCAGAAGTCAGTGACATGTAATATATCCATTTTGTGAGAAACTTTGCGTTGGGAAGCTTGACTTTCAGCTCATCGACAGTCAGTGGGGATTTGTCCACAAATACGTGCTTAATCAGGACTCGCAGATCAATACGTGCACGGATATGGCACATTTTTTGGATGGCCACTAGAAGATGAACCCATTCGGAACGCTGTATTGGTTCTATTATGTCTTCCGTGACGATTTGTGTAGGCCAGAGGTACAAACAAATGTTGTGAAATGCTGAACGTATTTTACTCCGCGCTTAAACGAATGCGGTTCATTATCATTGGAACTGAATCAATATTCGCAAGGAAGAGCTTTGAGTAACTGGGCTACAACGAATTGAGGTTGATGCTGGAAATTGTTATTCGACTGATGCACGACGGAACATTCAGTGAGATTCGGGTGTACTTCCTAACCTTGGTTACTTGAACTCATCACCTTCGGCCACTTTTAAGAATCATTGAGCTGACAACAAAATAATGTATTTGAGCAATGGTATAAATGAAAGGATGTATAGTCAACTGGCAAAAATGCTGCTTGTAAATCAATATAGCTCCACCGTGATGTATGGCGCGCAATCCCTTCCATGTCTTGACGAATGCTTTTGTTTCGTACCTCAGAAAACGAATATCTAGTGGTGGCAGTTTACTTTCATGAGTGGAAAATGAATTTGCATGTTCACCTCCACCAAGGTCATATATCGTTAAGGCGGAGGGAAAACAGAAGTTGCGATATGTCAACATTTCGATTGTTCTCTTCGGTCGCAAACACAATACGAGCAGAAACACACAAGGGATTATATACATGGAAAAAAGAAGTACCACCAATCAAAATGTCATAGTCATGACCATGGCAACCGAATTGATTGCTTCAAGAGTTTCTGTGCACACAGCACAGGTTTAGGCCTTTATTGTCAACGCCTCACTAATTGCCAGCATTATCAGGTTTTTGTTACGTAATAACACTTTGAACGCTGTCTCGGGGTTTACGTGATGAGGGGCTTGGTGATAGACGATGCCGGGCTCCGATTGATTCTCAGGTTGGTCCATGTTGTTGCGTAATCACCTGTCCTAACCACTTTGGCAAATGTTCAGCTACCCTCTGACCTATGATAGTTGGGACAAGTGATTACGCAACAACATGGACCAATCTGAGAATCAATCGGAGCCCGGCATCGTCTATCACCAAGCCCCTCTTGACAACCCGTCATCACGTGAACCCCGAGACAGCGTTCAAAGTGTTATTACGTAACAAAAACCTGATAATGCTGGCAATTAGTGAGGCGTTGTTAATAAAGGCCTAAACCTGTACTGTGTGCACAGAAACTTTTGAGGCAATCCATTCGGTTGCCGTGGTCTTGACCGTGACATTTTGATTGGTGGTGCTTATTTTTTCCATGTATATAATCTCTTGTGTGTTTCTGCTCGTATTATGTTTGCGACTGAAGAGAACAATCGAAATGTTGACATATCGCAACTTCTGTCCTCTCCGCCTTAACAAAATGGCTGAAGGGGACCCACTGTTTTACTTTTATGAAAAGAAGGTCATATATGTAATGTTCAACGCGACTTGAGAAGCCGAATGGTTTTTGTGGAAGAATCGACACAAGCAATATTACGAGAGCGATGAATCTGAGCAAACGTGACCGGATTTACCATAGCTCCGGCAAACTGCACTCTTTGCAGGGCAGCTCTTTTTGCTTGGCGTTCGTCATTTCCACATCGATAGCACCCATTTTCATCTGAGCATTACGCTACAAAACTTCTCCACCCCAAATCGATCAATTTCAGCGGGTGTTGTATCAGCAAGAAACCATTTACTGTGTTCACTGACTGGAACCTTCGCACGCGCGTCATCGCGGGCTCTGTCCTAAAACACTTTATGCGCATATCCGATTAACAAACCCTCTGATCCGAAAATCCGCGAGAATGAAGATCGGCTGTTCCATTAACATTTCTTCGGGACAGTGTCGTATCCATAATTCCGAATAGATCAGTTGAGTCGAGGAGTAGAAGCGTCTGAAGCTTCGTCAGGTGTTTACTTTAACTGTGCAAAGTTATACCGCGAAGCGTTGATGCTTAGATGTCGGCACCAGTGCTTATCAAGAGTGACCAAAGCGTTATTTAAAGTGCGTTCTCGAAAATTAAGTGAGTCACGTATACGGCGACCCTCAGATCCGTGTTGTTGTCACAAAAGCTTAAAATATCCTCATGTTTCCATGTCACAGACGGACTCAGAATCGGCAGCACAAAAATATAATGTGGATAATGGATTTTCTAATCTTCCCAGCATTCTACCTTTCGGGTAACTGCGGGATCGGTCCAGAACGGAGCAGGAACAGTAGAATGCAGCGACATCGGTAGCACGCGATGCCAATTTCTTGTCCTGTATGGCAGAAAGAGAAACGCAGCGCGTAACGCTTGTATGAGCGATACGATCGAACATGCGTGAGTTAGCACAGAACCAGGAGAGCAAACCAAATCAATTAATCAGATGCAATGACACATGACCAGTCCAATGAATGGGGTAAGTCGATAACAAGAATGGATCCACTTGGCACGGATGGGAAACGCAGAAGGTATAATGGAGTCAAGACTACTGGAGGGTGTGTGACCAGTTCCATGGGCCTCACAGCTCACCGCGTTAGTGTCTACCTATTTTTAACTAACGACTGTCGTCTTGGCAGCAGGCGCTTACTGTAATTCCTCGACCGGTCTCGCGATGGCATCAGTCCATAAAACTAGTTTTCTTTGTTTCAGTATGCGCCCACAGTGCTCTGAGTTTGAAGGATTTCAAAATTATACTCTACAACAAGCTATACTTTTGTGGGGATCATAAGGCTTGTTTGACAGCCTGGTGATTTCTTTGGATAGGACTAACATTGCTGAGAGCATACTTGGTGACTGACACAGGAAACGATACTTGCATCATCAGTCTGCTGGTATCGAGTTTGTATCAGGTTCCAGGTCCTGACACCTCTCATTTCAGCGCCCCTCATTACTGTTACAAGGGTTTGTTCCCTAGAAGCAAATGGTTTAACCCCCAAAAAACAACCGGTGCAACTGATAGTTGCAATGAATCACTCGTACTGCTTTGTACGTTGTTGTATTTCGATCAAAACAAACGGCACAGTTGTCTCCACAGTTCAACCTGTAGGCTTCCACTAATGTGCTTGGGTCAGCCATTTCAGTGGTACCTTAAGGTTTAGCCGCGAATTCGCTGTCATCTCTGTACCAGATCTCTTGCATCCCATTGTTGACCTTTTTTAGATTCTTGCCTTTTTCTTCTCTACAGTTTCTTCCTAATTTGTTTCATCGCCGTCGCTTACTTAAAGAGTTACCATGCATAGCGGATATGTCTACATGGCCTCCAAGACCTTCATCAACATCTCAGCCTACCATTCGGGGGGATCGCACAGGTGGCGACCGTGTGGTGGTCAGCCTTCAAGTTGGTGACAACACCTGGAATCACTGACGTCATGTTTAACTGCCGTTGAACTCGTACTTCTCCCTGGGTATATATGTATATATTTCAAAAGTCCAACAAATGGGCATGTAACTATCAAAAACCAAGAGGAATGAATGTGATAATGAATAAATAAATAAATGAAGCTTTATTCCCGACTTGTTATTAGAGGCAGGATCATCATAAATGTAACGAAACCAAGTTTGATTTGTTTGTAAACCCTTTTTTGTCATGTTCAATGTTTATGGAAATAAATATGAGAATCTATACAATTCTGCAAACCGTTAGTTCAGATCCCGGTTGCAAACAATGTTTTCAAGCGTGCCAAGCCAGTGGCATTCCTCATCTTTGGGTACCTATCCATATATATATATATATATATATATATATATATATATATATATATATATATATATATATATAGAAGCACGCAAATACTATGCACTCGTGTCTTCTTGTCATACAACCTTGATGACCTGGGGAATGAAGGCAGGAATTCGACCTATTGTGAATATTGGATTCACCAAACATGCGTTCAGTGTCAAGGGTTGTACATCTTGCCAATAACTCACGATCACAGGCAGCTGCTTATCGCGTAAAGATAGAGCTACATCCACAAGACAGTTTCCTTGCGGCTTTCACTCTCGTGTCCTAATCTGACTTGCCCATACCTTACACAGCGGTGTTCAATTCCATTACACGAATCCGAGTTCTCACCATTAGGCTTCAAACATCAATCGGCTGCCTATCTGACTAACCGCGTCCACGAGTTATCCCTCATACTTAGTAGGCAGCCCTTGGCGAATGGTGTCTTTGTCTGCCTTGGCCGCTCTGGATAAGACAAGTTTTCCTCATGCTTATCAACCCTCACATGTGTGTTCACTATTTTTAGACTAAACTTCTGCCAGCTGCACCCATAGTACCGTTCCGTCGCTACTTGTTACAGGGTGATGAGTTTCGGTTTTGTAAGAACCTTTTCCAGCCAACTGCTTTTTACTTTATTCTCTATTATTCTATTACCTGTCCAGCTCCGAACATGACGGAGACAAAATTCCAACTTCCACATCGCCTTTTGTACCTGATGCACCGATCGTTATGACGGCAGATGTCCATACGGTTCCTGAGGCCGCCGAATTGGGAGCAGAAGCTATGGTGTCCGATGTGAATGAGCAGCTGTCCCCAGAAACATGCTCTTCACCGTCTCCACCTGCTTCCACCATGTGGGATCGACGGCAAATAGAGGATTGTATGCGTCGAATCGATATCGATCTACTCCCAAAGGTTTGTATGATGGATCTTCGCTTCTTTTACCTTATCTCATTTCCCTCTCAACTATTCCTTGTTCCCGTGCCTTAAAAGTGGTTTGCTAACGCCCGTTGCATTCTTTTTTTGATTTTCACCTGCACTAGACCCTTTGCACACAACTCCTTGTGCCAAGTTTCACAAGCGATGGAGTTGGTACAAAAAGACTGGGTTGTGTACTAATTCCCTTTGCACAAGTGACTTCACTGGAACACATTCTAGCTTCCTTGCTACTGTGGTTTGTCGGCC